GTATACTATATGTTAGTATGTTATATATTAGTATGTTAGTATGTTATATATTAGTATGTTATATATTAGTATGTTAGTATGTTAGTATGTTATATATTAGTATGTTATATATTAGTATGTTAGTATGTTAGTATGTTAGTATGTTAGTATGTTAGTATGTTAATATGTTATATATTAGTATGTTAGTATGTTAGTATGTTATATATTAGTATGTTATATATTAGTATGTTAGTATGTTATATATTAGTATGTTAGTATGTACAGTAGCATGTTATGTAACTACATGTCTCCCATCCCCATTCAAATGGATCAGTCAGCAGTCATTGGAATAGGGTTTGTTTTGATCAGTCAGCAGTCACTGGAATAGTGTTTGTTTTGATCAGTCAGCACTCACTGGAATAGTGTTTGTTTTGATCAGTCAGCAGTCACTGGAATAGTGTTTGTTTTGATCAGTCAGCACTCACTGGAATAGTGTTTGTTTTGATCAGTCAGCAGTCATTGGAATAGGGTTTGTTTTGATCAGTCAGCAGTCACTGGAATAGTGTTTGTTTTGATCAGTCATCAGTCAGCAGTTTGTTTTGTGTACACTCTTAACTTTGTTTTGTGTACACTCTTAACTGAGGACATACACTACATGGCCAAAAGTATGTTGACACCCCTTCACATTAGTGGATTCGGATATTTCAGCCACACCCATTGCTGACAGGTGTATAAAATTGATGCAATTATTTATGCAATCTCCATAAACAAACATTAGCAGTAGAATTTAACAGTAGAACTTTGTTGCAACAGTTTGGGGAAGGCCCTTTCCTGTTTCAGCATGACAATGTGCACAAAGTGAGGTCCATACAGAAATGGTTTGTCGAGATCGGTGTGGAAGAACTCGACTGGCCTGCACAGAGCCCTGACCTCAACCCCATCGAAAACCTTTGGGATGAAACGGAACGCCGACTGCGAGCCAGGCCTAATCGCTCTTGTGGCTGAATGGAAGCAAGTCCCCGCAGCAATGCTCCATCTAGTGGAAAGCCTTCCCAGAGGAGTGGAGGCTGTTATAGCAGCAAAAGGGGGGGGGGGGGGGCAACTCCATATTAATGACCTTGATTTTTGAATGAGATGTTGGACGAACATACTTTTGGCCATGTGGTGGAACTTGGGTGATTCTATTTCTGTCCCTTTGGTTTGAGCTGTGATTCACTATCTGTGTCTGTCTGCCTGTCTGTCTGTCTCTGTGTCTGTCTCTGTCTGTCTGGCTCTGTGTCTGTCTATCTGTGTCTGTCTGTCTGTCTGTTTCTGTCTGTCTGTTTCTGTGTCTGTCTGTCTCTGTGTCTGTTTCTGTGTCTGTCTGTCTCTGTGTCTGTCTCTGTCTGTCTGGCTCCGTGTCTGTCTATCTGTGTCTGTCTGTCTGTCTATCTGTCTGTCTGTCTATCTCTGTCTACCCGTACTTGTGTTCTAAAGTAGGCATTTTGGGTATGTGAAAAAATAAAGTTTTATAGTATGTGAAAAAAATAAAATGTTATAGTATGTAAAATTTCGACAATATATTTTAAATGCCAGGATGTCATCCTCATTTCAGCATTTCCTCTAGTAGAATTCACTGAACACTACTGAGGAAGAGAATGGTCTTTATCTAGTAGAATTCACTGAACACTTTTGAGGAAGAGAATGGTCTTTATCTAGTAGAATTCACTGAACACTTTTGAGGAAGAGAATGGTCTTTATCTAGTAGAATTCACTGAACACTACCGTTAAACTTCTCCTCTCTCTCCCCCCAGCCTGGCAGAGTCCAGGTCCGGACCACAGTCTGAGGATGGAGGACCACCTCTCCCTACAGGACCTCATGTCCCCTGAGCAGTGACCACTTAGACTAACAAAACAACAACAACAACAACAACAACTGCCTGAGATACTACTGTCCCTGCAAAACGACCAAGGCTGCCAGACATCCTGCTGTCACTACAAAACAACCAAGGCTGCCAGACATCCTGATGTCCCTACAAAACAACCAAGGCTGCCAGACATCCTGCTGTCCCTACAAAACGACCAAGGCTTCCAGACATCCTGCTGTCCCTGAAAAAAGACCAAGGCTGCCAGACTTCCTGCTGTCCCTGCAAAACGACCAAGGCTGCCAGACATCGTGCTGTCCCTGCAAAACGACCAAGGCTGCCAGACATCCTGCTGTCCCTGAAAAACGACCAAGGCTGCCAGACATCCTGCTGTCCCTGAAAAACAACCAAGGCTGCCAGACATCCTGCTGTCCCTACAAAACGACCAAGGCTGCCAGACATACTGCATCCCCACAAACCACCAGACATACTGCTTCCCCACAAACCATCAGACATACGGCATCCCCACAAAAGGACAAACTACGGTCCCCACAAACCACCAGACATACTGCATCCCCACAAAAGGACAAACTACGGTCCCCACAAACCACCAGACATACTGCATCCCCACAAAAGGACAAACTACGGTCCCCACAAACCACCAGACATACTGCATCCCCACAAAAGGACAAACTACGGTCCCCAGAAACCACAAGACATACTGCATCTCCACAAAAGGACAAACTACGGTCCCCAGAAACCACCAGACATACTGCATCCCCACAAAAGGACAAACTACGGTCCCCACAAATACATAAAAAGGCTGCCAGTCTCTGTAAACAACAACAACGCCTGCAAGACTCACATATTGTCCGCACATACACCCAACCAAGACTACCAAACATACTGCTGCCTCCACAAACCACCAGCTCCGGACAGATGAAACATACTGCTGCCCCCACAAACCACCAGCTCCGGACAGATGAAACATACTGCTGCCCCCACAAACCACCAGCTCCGGACAGATGAAACATACTGCTGCCCCCACAAACCACCAGCTCCGGACAGATGAAACATACTGCTGCCCCCACAAACCACCAGCTCCGGACAGATGAAACATTACTGCTGCCTCCACAAACCACCAGCTCTGGACAGATGAAACATACTGCTGCCTCCACAAACCACCAGCTCCGGACAGATGAAACATACTGCTGCCCCCACAAACCACCAGCTCCGGACAGATGAAACATACTGCTGCCCCCCACAAACCACCAGCTCCGGACAGATGAAACATACTGCTGCCTCCACAAAACCACCAGCTCCGGAAAGATGAAACATACTGCTGCCCCCACAAACCACCAGCTCCGGACAGATGAAACATACTGCTGCCCCCACAAACCACCAGCTCCGGACAGATGAAATATACTGCTGCCCCCACAAACCACCAGCTCCGGACAGATGAAACATACTGCTGCCCCCCACAAACCACAGCTCCGGACAGATGAAACATACTGCTGCCCCCACAAACCACCAGCTCCGGACAGATGAAACATACTGCTGCCCCCACAAACCACCAGCTCCGGACAGATGAAACATACTGCTGCCCCCACAAACCACCAGCTCCGGACAGATGAAACATACTGCTGCCCCCACAAACCACCAGCTCCGGACAGATGAAACATACTGCCGTCCTCACAAAAGATGTCCAAGTTACAGGACCCACAATCAGACCTTCCAGACCTCTCAGTCTGCCTGTAGATCATTCTGATTCTGGTGTACTAGAACTAATCAACACTCAGCATGGACAACTAGCCTTCGTCTCTCTACCTAAGTACAGAAACTCTCTGATCTCTCCGAAATGGCACCCTATTCGCTAGTGTTACCAAACCCATAACTAGCTTATGGATATTGTTGCACTGGCTTTGTCTAGGAGTCCTAGGCCTACTTACATGGTCTGTAACCTGAATGAATTTGTCTAGGAGTCCTAGGCCTAGTTAAATGGTCTGTAACTTGAATGAACCGTGTTGGATGGACACGTGCCCAAGGAAACAGCTCGGCCGTGACCTCTCGATCGGCCAGTCCAAGCAGATATTTAGTTGTTCAGATGGTGACACGAAAATAAACATAGAAAATGTAAAACTAAAAACAGGCCAAACTAAAGACTGAAAACCAAACCAAAGGCCTCATGGCCACCAAACCAACCAGCAGCCTCACGGCTCTGCCAGCTGGGACACTGACTGACCGTCATCCTAATTAGCAGCACCTCATGTGATTATCAACCGGGCTCGACACCTGAACCCCCTCAAGGTTGCTGCTGCCCCCTGGGGGATGGAGTGTTGAAGTGTATCCTGGATAGTGTGTTTGTCCATGTCCCAACACTAACCTTCCCCCATATCATAACACTATATAGTACACTACTTTTGATCAGGGCCCAAATAGGTCTCTTGTCAAAAGTAGTGCACTATATAGGGAATAGGGTGCTATTTGGGATGAAGTCTAAGTAGAGTTGCAACAATTGTCTCAAGAGTCTACCACTAGTAGTCTACCCCCAGTAGTCTACCACCAGTAGTCTACCACCAGTATAGTCTACCACCAGTATAGTCTACCACCAGTAGTCTACCTCCAGTATAGTCTACCACCAGTAGTCTACCCCCAGTAGTCTACCTCCAGTATAGTCTACCACCAGTAGTCTACCCCCAGTAGTCTACCCCCAGTAGTCTACCACCAGTAGTCTACCACCAGTATAGTCTACCACCAGTAGTCTACCACCAGTAGTCTACCACCAGTATAGTCTACCACCAGTAGTCTACCCCCAGTAGTCTACCCCCAGTAGTCTACCACCAGTAGTCTACCACCAGTAGTCTACCACCAGTATAGTCTACCCCCAGTAGTCTACCACCAGTAGTCTATCACCAGTATAGTCTACCCCCAGTAGTCTACCACCAGTATAGTCTACCACCAGTATAGTATACCACCAGTATAGTCTACCACCAGTAGTCTACCACCAGTATAGTCTACCACCAGTATAGTCTACCACCAGTATAGTCTACCACCAGTAGTCTACCACCAGTATAGTCTACCACCAGTATAGTCTACCACCAGTATAGTCTACCCCCAGTATAGTCTACCACCAGTAGTCTACCACCAGTAGTCTACCACCAGTAGTCTACCACCAGTATAGTCTACCACCAGTATAGTCTACCCCCAGTAGTCTACCACCAGTATAGTCTACCCCCAGTAGTCTACCACCAGTATAGTCTACCACCAGTATAGTCTACCACCAGTATAGTCTACCACCAGTATAGTCTACCCCCAGTATAGTCTACCACCAGTATGGTCTACCACCAGTAGTATACCACCAGTAGTCTACCACCAGTATAGTCTACCACCAGTAGTCTACCACCAGTATAGTCTACCACCAGTAGTCTACCACCAGTATAGTCTACAACCAGTATAGTCTACCACCAGTATAGTCTACCACCAGTAGTCTACCACCAGTATAGTCTACCACCAGTATAGTCTACCACCAATAGTCTACCACCAGTAGTCTACCCCCAGTAGTCTACCCCAGTAGTCTACCACCAGTAGTCTACCACCAGTATAGTCTACCCCCAGTAGTCTACCCCCAGTAGTCTACCCCCAGTAGTCTACCACCAGTAGTCTACCACCAGTATAGTCTACCCCCAGTAGTCTACCCCCAGTAGTCTACCCCCAGTAGTCTACCCCCAGTAGTCTACCACCAGTATAGTCTACCACCAGTAGTCTACCACCAGTATAGTCTACCACCAGTATAGTCTACCACCAGTAGTCTACCACCAGTAGTCTACCACCAGTATAGTCTACCACCAATAGTCTACCACCAGTAGTCTACCACCAGTAGTCTACCCCCAGTAGTCTACCCCCAGTAGTCTACCTCCAGTATAGTCTACCACCAGTAGTCTACCCCCAGTAGTCTACCCCCAGTAGTCTACCACCAGTAGTCTACCACCAGTATAGTCTACCACCAGTATAGTCTACCACCAGTAGTCTACCACCAGTAGTCTACCACCAGTATAGTCTACCACCAGTAGTCTACCACCAGTAGTCTACCACCAGTAGTCTACCACCAGTATAGTCTACCACCAGTATAGTCTACCACCAGTATAGTCTACCCCCAGTAGTCTACCACCAGTAGTCTATCACCAGTATAGTCTACCCCCAGTAGTCTACCACCAGTATAGTCTACCACCAGTATAGTATACCACCAGTATAGTCTACCACCAGTAGTCTACCACCAGTATAGTCTACCACCAGTATAGTCTACCACCAGTATAGTCTACCACCAGTAGTCTACCACCAGTATAGTCTACCACCAGTATAGTCTACCACCAGTATAGTCTACCCCCAGTATAGTCTACCCCCAGTATAGTCTACCACCAGTAGTCTACCACCAGTATAGTCTACCACCAGTATAGTCTACCCCCAGTAGTCTACCACCAGTATATTCTACCCCCAGTAGTCTACCACCAGTATAGTCTACCACCAGTATTGTCTACCACCAGTATAGTCTACCACCAGTAGTCTACCACCAGTAGTCTACCACCAGTATAGTCTACCACCAGTATAGTCTACCACCAGTATAGTCTACCCCCAGTATAGTCTACCCCCAGTATAGTCTACCACCAGTAGTCTACCACCAGTAGTCTACCACCAGTAGTCTACCACCAGTATAGTCTACCACCAGTAGTCTACCACCAGTATAGTCTACCACCAGTATAGTCTACCACCAGTATAGTCTACCACCAGTAGTCTACCACCAGTATAGTCTACCACCAGTATAGTATACCACCAGTATAGTCTACCACCAATAGTCTACCACCAGTAGTCTACCACCAGTAGTCTACCCCCAGTAGTCTACCACCAGTAGTCTACCACCAGTATAGTCTACCACCAGTATAGTCTACCCCCAGTAGTCTACCCCCAGTAGTCTACCACCAGTAGTCTACCACCAGTATAGTCTACCACCAGTAGTCTACCACCAGTAGTCTACCACCAGTAGTCTACCACCAGTATAGTCTACCACCAGTATAGTCTACCACCAGTAGTCTACCACCAGTATAGATACCACCAGTATAGTCTACCACCAATAGTCTACCACCAGTAGTCTACCACCAGTAGTCTACCCCCAGTAGTCTACCCCCAGTAGTCTACCACCAGTAGTCTACCACCAGTATAGTCTACCACCAGTAGTCTACCCCCAGTAGTCTACCCCCAGTAGTGTACCCCCAGTAGTCTACCACCAGTATAGTCTACCACCAGTATAGTATACCACCAGTATAGTCTACCACCAGTAGTCTACCACCAGTATAGTCTACCACCAGTATAGTCTACCACCAGTATAGTCTACCACCAGTATAGTCTACCACCAGTAGTCTACCACCAGTATAGTCTACCACCAGTATAGTCTACCACCAGTAGTCTACCACCAGTAGTCTACCCCCAGTAGTCTACCCCCAGTAGTCTACCACCAGTATAGTCTACCACCAGTATAGTCTACCACCAGTATAGTCTACCACCAGTAGTCTACCCCCAGTAGTCTACCCCCAGTAGTCTACCCCCAGTATAGTCTACCACCAGTATAGTCTACCACCAGTAGTCTACCACCAGTAGTCTACCACCAGTATAGTCTACCACCAGTAGTCTACCCCCAGTAGTCTACCACCAGTAGTCTACCACCAGTAGTCTACCACCAGTAGTCTACCACCAGTATAGTCTACCACCAGTATAGTCTACCACCAGTATAGTCTACCCCCAGTAGTCTACCACCAGTAGTCTATCACCAGTATAGTCTACCCCCAGTAGTCTACCACCAGTATAGTCTACCACCAGTATAGTATACCACCAGTATAGTCTACCACCAGTAGTCTACCACCAGTATAGTCTACCACCAGTATAGTCTACCACCAGTAGTCTACCACCAGTATAGTCTACCACCAGTATAGTCTACCACCAGTATAGTCTACCCCCAGTATAGTCTACCACCAGTAGTCTACCACCAGTAGTCTACCACCAGTAGTCTAGCACCAGTATAGTCTACCACCAGTATAGTCTACCCCCAGTAGTCTACCACCAGTATAGTCTAACCCCAGTAGTCTACCACCAGTATAGTCTACCACCAGCATAGTCTACCACCAGTATAGTCTACCACCAGTATAGTCTACCACCAGTAGTCTACCACCAGTATAGTCTACCACCAGTATAGTCTACCACCAGTATAGTCTACCCCCAGTATAGTCTACCACCAGTATAGTCTACCACCAGTATAGTCTACCACCAGTATAGTCTACCCCCAGTATAGTCTACCACCAGTAGTCTACCACCAGTAGTCTACCACCAGTATAGTCTACCACCAGTATAGTCTACCACCAGTAGTCTACCACCAGTATAGTCTACCACCAGTAGTCTACCACCAGTATAGTCTACCAAAAGTAGTCTACCCCCAGTAGTCTACCACCAGTAGTCTACCACCAGTATAGTCTACCACCAGTATAGTCTACCACCAGTATAGTCTACCACCAGTATAGTCTACCACCAGTATAGTCTACCCCCAGTAGTCTACCACCAGTAGTCTATCACCAGTATAGTCTACCCCCAGTAGTCTACCCCCAGTAGTCTACCGCCAGTATAGTCTACCACCAGTAGTCTACCACCAGTATAGTATACCACCAGTATAGTCTACCCCCAGTATAGTCTACCACCAGTAGTCTACCACCAGTAGTCTACCACCAGTATAGTCTACCACCAGTATAGTCTACCCCCAGTAGTCTACCACCAGTATAGTCTACCCCCAGTAGTCTACCACCAGTATAGTCTACCACCAGTATAGTCTACCACCAGTATAGTCTACCACCAGTAGTCTACCACCAGTATAGTCTACCACCAGTAGTCTACCACCAGTATAGTCTACCCCCAGTATAGTCTACCACCAGTAGTCTACCACCAGTAGTCTACCACCAGTATCGTCTATCACCAGTAGTCTACCACCAGTAGTCTACCACCAGTATAGTCTACCACCAGTATAGTCTACCACCAGTATAGTCTACCACCAGTAGTCTACCACCAGTATAGTCTACCACCAGTATAGTCTACCATCAGTAGTCTACCACCAGTATAGTCTACCACCAGTATAGTCTACCACCAGTATAGTCTACCCCCATTATAGTCTACCACCAGTAGTCTACCACCAGTATAGTCTACCACCAGTATAGTCTACCACCAGTAGTCTACCACCAGTATAGTCTACCACCCAGATAGTCTACCACCAGTAGTCTACCACAGTATAGGCTACCCCCAGTATAGTCTACCACCAGTAGTCTACCACCAGTAGTCTACCACCAGTATAGTCTATCACCAGTAGTCTACCACCAGTAGTCTACCACCAGTATAGTCTACCACCAAGTATAGTCTACCACCAGTATAGTCTACCCCCAGTAGTCTACACCCAGTATAGTCTACCACCAGTATAGTCTACCACCAGAGTCTACCACCAGTAGTCTACCCACCAGTGTCTACCACCAAGTAGTCTACACCAGTAGTCTACCACCAGTAGTCTACCACCCAGTTAGTCTACCACCAGTATAGTCTACCACAGTAGTCTACCACCAGTATAGTCTACCACCAGTATAGTTCTACCACCAGTATAGTCTACCCCAGTAGTCTACCACCAGTAGTCTACCACCAGTATAAATATACCAACCAGTAGTCTACCACCGTAGTCTACCACCAGTAGTCTCACCCACCACAGTAGTCTACCACCAGTATGTCTACCCCCAAGTCTACCACCAGTATATCTACCACCAGTAGTCTACCACCAGTATAGTCTACCCCATAGTCACCACCAGTAGTCTACCACCAGTATAGTCTACCACCAGTAGTCTACCACCAGTATAGTCTACCACCAGTAGTCTCCCCATAGTCTACCACCAGTATAGTCTACCACCAGTATAGTCTACCACCAGTAAGTCTACCACCAGTATAGCTCCACGTATAGTCACACCCAAATACAGTAGTCTACCACCAGTTAGTCTACCACCAGTATAGTCTACCACCAGTATAGTCTACCACCAGTATAGTCTACCACCAGTAGTCTACCACCAGTAGTCTACCACCAGTATAGTCTACCACCAGTATAGTCTACCACCAGTATAGTCTACCACCAGTATAGTCTACCACCAGTATAGTCTACACACCAGTAGTCTACCACCAGTATAGTCTACCACCAGTATAGTCTACCACCAGTATAGTCTACCACCAGTAGTCTACCACCAGTATAGTCTACACCAGTTAGTCTACCCCAGTAGTCTACCACCAGTATAGTCTACCACCAGTATAGTCTACCACCAGTATAGTCTACCACCAGTTAGTCTACCACCAGTATAGTCTACCACCAGTATAGTCTACCATCAGTAGTCTACCACCAGTATAGTCTACCACCAGTATAGTCTACCACCAGTAGTCTACCCCAGTATAGTCTACCACCAGTAGTCTACCACCAGTATAGTCTACCACCAGTATAGTCTACCACCAGTAGTCTACCACCAGTATAGTCTACCACCAGTTAGTCTACCCCCAGTAGTCTACCACCAGTAAGTCTACCCCAGATTAGTCTACCACCAGTAGTCTACCACCAGTAGTCTACCACCAGTATAGTCTACACCAGTATGTCTACCACCAGTAGTCTACCACCAGTATAGTCTACCACCAGTATATAGTCTACCACCAGTATAGTCTACCCCAGTTAGTCTACCACCAGATAGTCTACCACCAGTATAGTACTACCACCAGTAGTCTACCACCAGTAAGTCTACCACCAGTAGTCTACCACCAATAGTCTACCACCAGTAGTCTACCACCAGTAGTCTACCACCAGTTAGTCTACCACCAGATATAGTCTAACCACCAGTAGTCTACCACCAGTATAGTCTACCACCAGTTAGTCTACCACCAGTAGTCTACCACCAGTATAGTCTACCACCAGTATAGTCTACACATCCAGTATAGTCTACCACCAGTAGTCATACCACCAGTATAGTTACCACCAGTAAGTCTACCCCCAGTATAGTCTACCACCAGTAGTCTACCACCAGATAGTCTACACCAGTATAGTCTACCCCAGTAGTCTACCCCAGTAGTCTACCACCAGATAGTCTACCACCAGTATAGTCTACCACCAGTATAGCTACCACCAGTAGTCTACCACCAATAGTCTACCACCAGTATAGTCTAATTTAAACCCCCAGTATAGTCTACCACCAGTAGTCTACCACCAGTATGTCTACCACCAGTAGTCTACCACCAGTAGTCTACCACCAGTATAGTCTACCCACCAGTATAGTCTACCACCAGTAAATCTACCACAGTTTGTCTACCACCAGTATAGTCTACCACCAGTAGTCTACCACCAGTATAGTCTACCACCAGTAGTCTACCACCAGTATAAGTCTACCACCAGTATGTCTACCACCAGTATAGTCTACCACCAGTTAGTCTACCACCAGTAGTCTACCACCCAGTATAGTCTACCACCAGTATAGTCTACCACCAGTATAGTCTACCACCAGTATAGTCTACCACCAGTAGTCTACCACCAGTAGTCTACCCAGTAGTCTACCACCAGTATAGTCTACCACCAGTAGTCTACCACCAGTAGTCTACCACCAGTATAGTCTACCATCAGTATCAGTCTACCACCAGTAGTCTAACCACAGTGCTCTACCACCAGTATAGTCTACCACCAGTATAGTCTACCACCAGTATAGTCTACCACCAGTAGTCTACCACCCAGTATAGTCTACCCACCAGTATAGTCTACCACCAGTAGTCTACACAGTATAGTATACCACCAGTAGTCTACCACCAGTATAGTCTACCACCAGTTAGTCTACCACCAGTATAGTCTACTACCAGTATAGTTACCCCCCAGTAGTCTACCAGTATAGTCTACCACCAGTATAGTCTACCACCAGTAGTCTACCACCCAGTATAGTCTACCACCAGTATAGTATACCACCAGTAGTCTACCACCAGTATAGTCTACCACCAGTAGTCTACCACCAGTATAGTATACCACCAGTAGTCTACCACCAGTATAGTCTACCA